GGCACAATGTCTTGTTCTCTTAAGCTGATGTTAATTTCTTTATAGCAGGTTTTCCTATTTTATAAATAATGTCATCAAATTTTATAGTGGAGCAGATTTATTTAAAGTGAAAGTTTTTGGAGGGTTTTCTACAAAAAGAAAAAAACAGATTTTGCTGAGCAGGCACATTTATCCATAAACCCTGTTAAGACAAAACTGTCGATCTGTCATTGATGTCATAGTTATGCCAAAGCAGTGATAGGTCTGTAGAATAATATTAGTATGTTAGTTAGATCTCAGTATGCCAAGATTGAATTTTTCCTACTTTTAGTTTGTGTATCGCTGTCTCGCACAATGACCAACAATTGCTAACTTTAAATAAAATATATGGAAAATATACAAACAGCAGATTGGCTTGTTGTTTCCACATCTTTCAGTGATATTAATTAGTTTTAGTTAAATTAGTTAATTAGTTTTCCATAAACCAAAATAAAATTCAAAATGAGCTAAAGTTAGATCCCATCAATATGTTTACTGAAATATTTTCAGTCTGCTTTCAGTGAAAATTCTCAAATTGGGGGAAAAAATGCCACACACCAGGGTTTTTTGTTTCCTTTTTACTGGAAAAGCCAGTAGCCAGCTTCACGGTACTGAGAAACAGAATGAGGAAAATACACCTGGGCATTTCAACAAATAAAACAAACAGGTAGAGAGCAGTTATAGGAGGTATACACACTGAGAGGCAGGGCATTTTGGCAATAATCAAATGTTCCCAGATTCAATAATTTCAGTTCAGATGAGTCTTTCATTTCAGTAACTGAAAATATCTACCCTAAAGCAGGAAAACCCCCACATCAAATACCCGTTAGTATCGTAAACCAGTTTTCCGAGGACGTATTTTCTCTTTGGTGTAATTTCACTATTTCCGTATATATCTGTCTGAACATGAACAGCACCAACGTGAAGTCAACTGGGTCTTTTAAAAGCAACAAATACAGGAGTTTAAATAGACCCGAATACAATGCATTGGGAGAAGTAAGGAGCATGTGAAATCAGTGACAACCTTTACGTTCATTTACTTAATGAACTGTAGTAATGGCTGTCTCTTTACATCGTGGCTCAGTAATCAAAAATAAAGACAATAACTCTATATGTTTTAGGCATTCTTGGCAGACGACAAGGCAAAAACATGAATCAACAGAACCCATAGCGTAGCAGAAACTGCTATAAGCCAGCACCTGTGGGGGTCATTTCTCTGTGATTTAAATTACAGCAACAAAAACAACCAATTTTATGGCATAAGACATTTTATTGTGTTTGGGGGGGGGGGCGCTTAGGGAATAATGTGTTTACTATTATGTGATATTTTATACTCTGAAAAATCTGTCAAGTATTTAGTGGGCAATATAATTTTACCTATTAGAGGAGAACAGCCTAAGACTGCATGCCTCTAAAAGCAAAACATTTCCTCCGCACCAAGCATAAATTGACTCTGAATGTTTTCTGAAAAACTTTATACATATAGCAGTCACTTTTTAGCTAAACATTGCTAGCACCAGGTTGGACCCTTTTTTGCCTCTAGCACTGTCTTAATTCTTCGTGGCACAGATTAAAGAAGGTGCTGGCAAACATTCCTCAGAGATTTTGGCCCATAACATCACACAGTTGCTGCATATTTGTCAGCTTTACATCTATGCTGCAAATCCAAAAGGATTGGAGGGCGTTTGAGCGCAGTCAACTAATTTTCACGTTCAGAAAATCCGTTTGAGATGCTCTGAGCTTTCTGATATGGTGT